CACATTGATCGCTTTAGTTTTGATCATATGATGATTAAGCAACAATATTAATAGTTAATCATCCCACTTTAGATTTAAATGACTCCATAACAGACGTGAAGTCCCAAAAAGTTTATCAGACGATTAATATAGTTTAAGCATGGCTTCTTCTAATCGTGGTTAATTATTATTAATCTAATGCATAATTAAGAGTCATTGTCACGTGGTTTGTAAGCTGAAATGGAACACTAGTTTTCTTCGAAACTCTCCTCCCAACAGCTACCGCATTAGCAAATATTGTGAATTAAACAAATTATTCATTGCTTCGTATGTTCAATGTTCTTGCAATCATTAAGAATTTTCTATAACTTTCTGTGGCATTGTGCTAATCACACTTTACTAGCTTCTATTAATTTTAATTAACTAGCTAAGCAATGACGTTAATTTGTGCTTGTCCCTTTGCATCAACACAGATCTTCATCTTTAATTGTCTTTTTTTTGTGGGGTTAATTTTAATCATTCTTTTAGAATAGAGATTAATTAAACTATTCACTTCATATTTTAATTGACCAATGAACAACTCTCAATTAAACACATACTAGAAACTTCCTACATTTCTTAATCAAAGGGTCTCTCCAATGATTATGGGTTGAGAGAAACTTCAGATGTTGGAAAATAACAGCTACATTTAGTAATATTCTTAAAATTAGACTGCTCTGAGGTCATGGCTGACCAAATGAGCAATTGGTAATAATGAAATTAGTGAAACATAACATCCAAAATATGTATTAGAGCAATTCTCCTCCACTCATCCAAATTGTGTATTCTCACGAGTGTTTCGTCAAAAGAATCTAAATTATTGAGTAGATAATAAATGTTCTTGTTCGAATGTACGATTCAGATTAAAGCATAACATCTTTTAGTTTGTCAACAATCGCATTTAAAACTCAAGAAATGGACCTTATAAGCTCATGTGTGGGGTAGGAATTGCAATCAAAGGTGGCTCACGTGATCAAAATCAAAGATTCCGGTCATGAAGAATAATTCTCAATAATATTTGTCAAAAAAATGAACAGGGTCGTACGAATTTTCAACTCCACATATGATCAATTAAGAAGAGAAGAGAAGAAACAACTCATCAAAAGTCAGAAAGCATCATCTGGTTGGTCTTATCCAATGGGTTGACTTTTGCAATATATCTAGTTGGTTTCTGCATCCAGTTGCTGCAAAATATATACCATTAGATCTGTGTAATTCTAGTCAAAACATAGTTTATGAATGCATTATGCATCTCCACCGTGTTCTACTCTAATCGACCGCTGCCTTTGACATTAGCGGTTAGGACCGCAACAAACGTAATGTATGTGGGACTTATCTGTATTAGAGAGATGATCGATAATCTCAAAAGTAAAAGTAATACAAATAGCAACATTCCTAATATATACAATATATACACGTGAAAATAATAATAATAACAGGTATGACCTCTCAACTTATTTTTGAAAAAAAATTCAGTCATTTTCATTGAAAGCACATATATGAAAAAGTATAAAGCCTTGAAATGAAGTTTGAATCAAAGTTATAATAACAATTTTAAATTATAATAATAATAGTCCATTTCAAACTATCATAAGCGTCGATCCAATGATGAACCAGAGACTGAGGCCAAGTCCCCGTCATGTGCCCCGCAACTCATTGTCATGATTGAATAAATTTGGAAAGCTATCGAGCTAGTTATGAATATTGTTAATTTCGACCCACAATAATTACATTAATATTTTGTTTAAGCTCAAAAACACTGTTTAATTGTGAAGATGATACTTTTTAGATGTTACAACTATATGTCATTTTGTGAAGAAAAATACTTCCATTCTTATTAGGTAAGCAGGAGCTCATATATTTATGTCAATAATAGTGTGGCATGTGTGATGAAGTTTTTCTTTTTGTGTTTTTTATGATTTTTTTTTCATATGTGTCAAACTGTGATTCACAGGAAAGAGGAGTATATCCTCACAAGTAAGGAGATAAGTAGTATACTTTTCTTAAATCCAATTTTGGACGGTTTTTTTATATAATTTTTATTTTAATGTACAAACGTTTAGAGGCTCTCATGGACCAACTTTATTATAAAAAAATAAAAATTGGGTTATCAATTCCATCCTCAAATCTTTCCTTCATATGAATTGCAAAACATGCAAAGTGTACCATCGCTTTAGACTCACAAAGTTGTAAGTGGATTAGTTCATGGAAAAGCTGAAAGAAAATAAAAAGTAACGAATTTTTAAGTTCGTAAACTAATGGGTAAGTGGGATTTGCCTCTCTTCTCCATTTGAAAAAGGTTCATTAGAACACCAGTCGATCATGATCTCATGATGATTGATTATTACGATAAGTTTCTAGACATTTGTATTATGAGTAGATGGTCCTAATATCTAACTACCAAGTGGAGAGGACAATGAGTGTTCTAATCATAATCCCAAGGGATAATTATGCAAATGGGAGATCCTTTAAGCTCAATTACATTTTAATTAAACTCGATCGGGGCAATAATTTGAGGATAATGAGTCTGCTTCACAAATTGAAAGCAAATAGAAACCAGAAAGAGGCCAGAATTTTCATGTTGTTGATGGTATATACCTATGTTCTTATATCTCTTTTTTACTTCTATGATTATAATAATAAACATACGCATAGAGTTGTATACAACCGATTTCACCCGAGATTTTCTCCGTTGCACACTCAATGCTGTTACTACTATTAGTACATATATAAATAAAGCAAATGGAAAAAGTAAGAGTCGTTATGGTAGTGCACCAATGCATGCAACATCACTTGGGCAGCTCAAATCACGTACCCAGTAACTTATAGCAAATTGGACCGACGGATGTAAATGTGAAAGGGTGATATGATGTGGCTGGGAAAAAGATTAAAGATAGGGCACACGTACAGCTTTCTTCTCCCTCTCCCAATTTAGCCGGTGAATGATGGTGGTGTCCTTGTTCAGCCCTAGAAACTCGTATGCACCATTAACAAGGTAAATAAGGTTCATTCAGTTTGGCTGTTTCAGACTGTGTGACAAGGATTTGAAAAGACATCTTTCACTTTCAATTCAATCAAAGGCAAGCATTGCCTTTTCAGTGCATCAATTCACTTTGCTTTTTCTTCAGAGCTGGCCAAATGTGTCATCTTCAGAAGGCAAAGAATAATCATGCACTTAAGATTCTTAATTAAGGTGGAAAATCTTCTAAATAAAATCCAAATCCAATGCATATAAGAATGTTCTGTTCCAGATAAGTGCTTATAATTATGAGACTGTAAATCTAAACCATACATTATATTTAGAATTACTCTAATTTGTTCCTCTCTAGATAAATACTTATGTTACAAGACTGTAAATTTAAATCACACATTATGTTAAGATTCATAAAATTTTATAGTTATTCTCTCGTTTGGATGTTCGCACGTTATGATATTATAAACAGGGAGAAAAGTAAGAGAGGGTAGTAGAAGATACATGACATTTGCATGATAATAACGTCCGAACGTTCGCATAGGAGAATTTCTATATAATTTTAGGACCATTCTAGAATATTATTAATTATGTATGATAAAGAATTTTAGAGGACTACGAAACCGAGATCTTGTTTCTAGATAACTTAGCCCATATGAAAGAATGTTGTTTTAGATTGTTAAGAGGGTACGCGAAGGACTGTCACTGTAGGAGGAAGGTGGAAGGAAAGCCCATACATGGGTAAGTTCGGCATTTCTTGGAAGGCACCCGAATGCGTCATGGATCTCGTACCTCTCTTTTTAGACCAACTTTTCAAACATGGACTTGGCCCACATACACAGTCAAATATTCATACTTTATGTTAAAATTAAAAAAAAAAATATATTTCTTTATTTTTTTCTAATAGTGTACTTTTAATAATGATAACATCGAAACATCTAGAGGACCTCGAAACATCTAGAGGAGTCAAACACAAAACTGCTAGCAACTACCAAAGGTAGATTAAATGATAATGATTAGGTGCATCTATATGTTATCATTGATACAATAAGAAAATAAGAAGAAATAAAACAGTTGATAGGTACCTTATATTTCACATTTCAAAAATGAAAATAATGCAGCTCTATGTTGCTAGATTTGTGGAAAATAATTATCATTTTCTCAATCCATTTGAGGACCTTTCTAGGAGAGAGCATTCTAAACCATTAAACTAGCGGTCTTTTGCAGCTATAACTTAATACTCGCGATAATATGTCTTAGTTCACATAATTAGGTAACCTTCCTTGTCAGGCATATTCTTAAAAACTATTCGACTTCTTTTTCTTTGGTTTCAAAGTAGTCCAATTCTACCTTTGGTTTGGGACTGTTTCTCTAGGAAACACTTATACTCATAAGCGCTTCAAACAAAAGAGCTTTTATTATAAAAAGGTTGAAATTTTCATAAAAAATCGAAGTGCTTATTGGAAAAGCACTTGGGAGTGCTTCGTAAAGAAGTACATGATAGAGTTTTTTTTGTTTTCCAGAAAGTGCTTCTATGATCCAGAAGCACTTCTCGACTTTTCTGGTAAACATTGTCATAAGCGCTTTTAGTCCTTTCAAAAGCACTCCCAAACGGACCAAAGTAATATTCCAATTTAACCAAGGTACGTAGTTGCATAAATGTTCCATATTCCTACCCTAAATTTCCTTTGAAAAAATCTTTTTCAAGCTGTTGGAAGAACAAGTTGCCCATTTTTTGGTTTCTTTTAACAGAATTGTTTAATTTATTAATTAAAACTAGCTAAAAAAGAATGTGGTTTTTGCTTTGATCAACACTAGTAGTTTTCTCCGCACAACATAAGCGAACCTTTCTTATTCCATACAATTCTCCATCAAACGATATCACCAATGAGAACCCAATAAGTAATTAAAAAGAATCGTATCTATTAATTCAATTAATAACATTGTACATGATATAAATTAACGAAAGAATAATAAAAAGAATACAATGGTGTGACATGCACATAAAAAATTATGAAACAAAAGCATCAACTTTTGGAGCCATCTCCCCGAACAATAACTTCAAGTCATTCTCCAATGGCGTCAAGTTCAAGTCCATCTCTAAGCACATAATCCTCTTGCTACTCGACCTTTTCAGCACCGGAATCTTCGAAGCGACAACAACCTCATCAGGAACTTTAGAAGAAAATCCCAGGTTCATGTTGGAAGCTCTGTGCCTCCTCATATGGCCACCCAAAGCCTGTCCCATGCCAAACTCCAGGCCACAAATGGAGCATTCGTGGGCTTTCGGCTTGTTCTTCGTTGACATCAAATTGCTTCCCTTTCTTGTCTCACTTTGTTGATCATGATCCATTGATGTTCTCGGCCTCCTGTGGCTTGCTCTGTGGCCACCAAGAGCTTGGAACGATGGGAATTTTCGGTTGCAAGTTTTGCACTCAAACACATCGTTTGGAGATGAACACTTTCTGAACTTGGTCTCCATGCCACATGAGAGTAGCATGAGGAACTTTTCCATGTCCAAACCCTTCATCCCTAACCCTACTTCATCTTCTCTCATTCTCTTCATGGCTAAGCAAAAGCAACGTACAAGCTGGTCAAATGTCTCACAAACCAAAAACAAAGTGTAGTTTTAGATACGGAAGAAGGCTTCGGTTGTGCTGTTATTTATAGGGGTTTGGAGTCAGTTAGGAAATGACCGTATTGCCCTCAATCCGCGTTAAGGAAACCCAAGAGTGTAGTGCGTTTCATTGGCTTTTTGGGTACTCAAGGGTTTGACCCATTGTTTTTTTTATTTGACTTGGAGACCACTCCTTTTGTAATGAAGAAAACGAAGTGGATTTAGATATACGAACACGTGATGAGCGTTGACTAGTCTTTGGTTATAAGACCAGCTGTTGCAGCGAGTCATCAGTGATGGCTATGTCTATGAACTATGAAGTTTGAAGGAAGCTGCAAAAAGGAATCTGCTTTGCAGCTTCCAAGGTATTTCAGATTGTTCAGACATTGAAGTCAGAAAAAAGCACTGTTGTTGGAAAGCACACAGAATCACCTAAATGTCTTCAGCATGAAGGATGATGAATAGTCCAGTCTTGCCGAACAAAGTCGAAGAAAATAGTTGGTAACTGAATTACTGGTGCACCTAAAGTTCTCACGTTTGTGCTTTGTGGGCTGCCCTCTGGAATAATTCAAAGAATCAAGTTGTGTTCATTCTTCAAACCACTTCACTATGATTTTCTTCAAAGTCTTTATTTAAAAAAATTTCATGCCAGAGTATGATTTCACACCCAACGGCACCACTAACCTATCTATGAGCAGCAAATGCAAGGAACATGCCTCAACGTGTGGGGACACACTGAAGAACTTCTTCCCAAGCATAATTTGAGCATCTTTCATCTTTCTGGTGTTTTTCAACATTCTTAATTTGATCAGTTAGAGGCGTTGGAAACAATTGCAGAGAAGAGTTGGAGAAACATGCAAGGAACATACATGCCTCAACGTGTGGGGACACACTGAAGAACTTCTTCCCAAGCATAATTTGAGCAGCTTTCATCTTTCTGGTGTTTTTCAACATTCTTAATTTGATCAGTTAGAGGCGTTGGAAATAATTGCAGAGAGGAGTTGGAGAAACATGCAAGGAACATACATGCCTCAACGTGTGGGGACACACTGAAGAACTTCTTCCCAAGGCATAATTTGAGCAGCTTTCATCTTTCTGGTGTTTTTCAACATTCTTAATTTGATCAGTTAGAGGCAATGCAGACAATTGTAGAGAGGAGTTGGAGAAACTTGTAATTGTTTTCATTTATGGCAAGTTGGCAACTACAAAATATTACAATATTATTCTTAACTTCTGAGAAGCAAATGAGGGGAACAGTAGAAAATAGATGGACTAGTAGTGTTCATAGCTCATCAGTTGATGAACATGCTTTGAAATTTTGAAATGGAGCATCATGCAACATCAGTTGACATCTGCAAAAGGAGTTCTAGGACCTGGGGTCTTGCTTTCCATTTGGCTCCGTTTCGATTTGTTGTCAGAAATACAGTCTTCTGTGACTTCAAAGGAGCTTCTCATCTCCTCAATAGATTCCATGCTGGGGACAGCTATAACTCGTTTCTTAGTTCCACCACTATGCCTATCAACCTGTTCATCACCATACCAAACAGCAATGATATTAGGCTTTATGCAATGAAGTTGACCCTATACTATAAGGAACATAATATTTTCCATATTTCCATCTCAAAAGACAACATACATACCAGATAATCTTTTACAAGGCGCTTTTCTGCTTCATTTCGTATAGTTGATACACCTTCACCATGCTTGTCTTGCACTGATTTGAGTTGATCCAAGCACAAGGTTGCCATGGAGTCTATTTCCTTTGTCTTTTCGTGGTCCAGCATTAGTGAAGCTGCATGTTTTTAAATCACCAGTTAGGCATTAGAAGAATGGATTATCGTATAGGAGTGAATTACTTCATTGCACAAGTAAATTCAAATTACCATTAACGCATGACGACGTGTCAGAGGCTATGGCATTGAAATCTGCATCCACACGGGAAGATGCGGAAACAAACTCTTCATGTGCAGAATGGTTTGCAGATATATTTTCCCTGTTGAAGCAAGGAAATTGCAATAGAGCATTAGAAGGGTAGAACAAACTAAGACTAGACGTTTTGATGAGTCAAGGAATGGAAACTCACTTCACAGTAGATTCGATCTTTGCAACACTCTTCTGATTAAGAGTGTTTATGGCTGACTGGGCCTTTTCCCAATGTTTCCTAGAATCACCCACTCTCTCTGAGCTGCATACAACCATAGGAAGTAAAAAGTTATATGAAGAGACATTGATAAGGGACAAGCCCACTGCAGCTGCAATGCTAGAATACTGTGGCACTATCTTTTCTTATACAAATTGAGGACAAAAGTGCATCTTCTCTAGATTTAATTCAGGTTTATGTGTATTCCTGTGTTTATATTGATCCTTTTGAAAGATTAAATAAATAAAATTTGAGAAGAAAATGAATAAACTTACCACTCTTGGAGGCAGTTTTCCATGATTGCATGAGACTCAGCTGCTGAGAATGTGTCTGTCATGAAGTTACTTTCCACCTTTCCAAAATATTCGCTCAACTCCTTCCCAGCATCCGTTGCCAATTGTTGCATGTCAAACATCTCCTTTTGCAACCTGGTATTATCTTGTTTAATTGTGTCCTGGATGTTGGTTGATGCCTTTGACACCTAATATTTATTTTTCTAAACGTCAGTTAAACAATACCGACAAACTATTCTAATTCAAGTGATAAACAGGAAAAAAAAATCCTTACAATTGAAGCTTTCTTAGATGTCAAAGTTGCTAATATTACTGCAATTTTTTCCATAGCCTGTTTTTCCTCTTTAGCAGCTTCTTCCTGTTTTTCAAGGCAACAAAAGCTCATCAGCATTTATTATACTAGTTCTGAAATTCACCTGTAGGGTGCACTTACCTTAAACATCTTCTCAAAATTCACTAATTGGTGGACTCGTTGGATTTGGCTTTCTTCAAGACTTCTCATGACTTGACAAGCATGGTCATGAAGGTCATCAAAAAAGTTCCCAGTGGCCTTTGAAATTACTTGTGTGGAAATCAAACTTCGTTGCAACCCCTGAAGTTGTACTCAAATATTAAGAATCTTTAATCTTTTCAAGTGCACATTATACCAAGTATGAAAAATAAAAACTACAAACCTACCTCCTCTTGTTGTCGAGTGGAGAAAGCCAACAGCTGTTTCTGCTCATCAAGAGAGTGCTGGATATCTTGGATGACCTCATTGGCTTCCATAACTGCAGTTACAAGAAACTACAAAGGCAAACATTGTACAACAGTCAGCTATTAAATCGAGGGCATTCTACGAATGGTAAGGGAAATTGAGACCATTACCTTCTCAACGGCCACTGTCTGTGACAACACCCTAGCATTTATCTGCACCAGGTCAGATGATGCTTTCGTTTTCAGCATGTTGGCTAGCTCCTTCAAGGCTGATACTCCAGAACTGTATGTCTCTGTTATCTTCTTAATCTTTGAATCCAGTACCTGTGCTGCCTGTTAATAATAATAGCGTTAACAAACAAATAACCAGTAAAACCAAGGCAATAAAAGCATAGCATATTGCATGACATAACAAAATCTCCCTTACATCACATTTACTAGCAAGGTATGAGTGAACATGTTCCTCCATGCATCTTAGTTGGTTCTGCTGTTGAGAAACAGACCCTAGGATGGTCTTATGCAGATCTTTCAAACTCCGATCAAGCTGAGAACCAAATGTTAAAACCAAGCTCTGATTTTCAGCTTCCATTCTGTCTTTCTGATCTGCAGAGAGCAAAAAGCACTAGATATGATAATGCCTAGGTCTAAACACTTTCATTTCCCTTCATCTTCATCATCTTTTGTTGTCTGTTATTCTTTTCTATATTTCTCCTTGCCTATTTGAAAGGATGCTTTAGCTTTCTTGCCTTAACGTCCAGCCAGAAGATGTAAACAAATAATAGAATAATAACCATTAATTTTTTTACCAATTACTAAATATGCAGGACACAATACTTTTCTGTATGAGGGATGCGTATGAGCTTGCATACTGAAGTTAATTTATCTTACCTAATTTTTCATATAGAGAATTTATTTCCTCTGATGCATTCTGCAAATCAGTTCGTAACTCCTTTGCACGTCCAATTAAAAGATTTTCTGTTATATGAGCAGACATTTGTCACCAATAACTCAAATATGAAGAAAGAGAGACAAATTTTCTCACCAATATCTCAATTGTCTCTTACCTGAGAATAGCATTTTGGAGATAATAAGCTCCTTCTCTTTCAGGGTTGTGATTGCTACCTGGTATTTCTCTTGAAGATCAAGCAGTGCCTTGTTACTGGTTTCCAGACTTATCTGAGAAAGACAAAATTGAATTCCTAATAAGATGCATGCATACACTGAAAAGACTACGGCAATAATGCTAAGTCTAAGTCCATGCACCTTGCATGCCTTCAGCTCACTTTGTAAATCCAGTTTCTGTTCTTGTTCGCTGAGATAGAGCTCACGAAAACTCTCTGCTTGCTGCAAGAAGAAGTGAGTTTGATGACATGAATATCATAGCAGAGATATTAACCAATGAGCAAGAAAATGTACCTTTTCTGTGAGGTTGAGATCATTTTCCAATTGCTCTATTTTCTCAATCCTGGCCTGCAGGGTTTCCAGGTTTTAAACAGATTAAGCTACATCAGTACAAATACAAAAGCATAGAAGAGGCAACATTTATTATCTATTTGCGTTCACCTAGTTTGAGGTTCTCATATATATATTTGAACATTGTCATGCTAAAACAATAAAGCTGGCAAGCAATATTTACCTTTTTTTCAGCTTCCTCCTGGACAAATCTTTCACGCGGAATATAAACACCATTCTTTTCCCGTGCTGCCCGAACCTCTGCATTTGTTTTTACAAAGATTAAAGAAAATTAAACAGCGATCCAAGTTAAACAGATTAAAATAAAATTAAACACCAATCCAAGTGTGCCATTCAACCTTCTTTCATTCTTTCAATCTCTGAATACAAATCCCTGAGCAGCACAGCCTTCGACATTTTCTGGTTTGCCTGCAAGAATAAGCTTCATCAACATCATCCTCATTGTAAAGAAATACATTCGGAGAAACAAAAAAGGAGGCAAAAATAATAATCCAAACAAACCTCAGGTTTGTTTTTAATGTTCTTGGCACGACAGGCATAATCTAGTGTGCTTAGGGTTTCTTCCATGCACTGAGCAGTTGGAGAAATTGTGGCAATGATGCAGGTTTTTGTTTTGCCTCCCAAAGAATCTCTTAAAAGTCTTGTAAGCTTACTGTCCCTGCAGATAGAGTCGGCACGGTTGAATAAACATACAGAAAATAGAAAGGAAGATAGTGAACCGCCAAATATTGTAACAAAGAGACATTATATATCAGTATGTACCTGTAAGGTATGTGAGTGGAATGTTCCACTAGTGCATTTATGACACGGCCCAGTGTGAGCAAGCTCTTATTTATCTCCCCCGCTTCTCTTGCACGTCCCTACAGTTTTAAACACAAGTTTCATCAATCTCTGATATACAGTCCAGTTTTGAAGTTAGGAAACTGTTAAACTCATTTAGAAGCCAAGTACGGGCTGTCATTTCTTTGAAATGTAAACTAGATCAACCATTGTACTACTGGCCATAACTAGAACAACACGAAGAGCCCAAATTTTATAAACACAATTATGGCTGCAATTTCAATGACTAACAAGATCATGTTTGCCCAGACAGCAAGCTTAAGATAAGAAGATTTATAATAATACCTCTCGTGCACCTGAACGAGATATGTTTTCTGATCCTGCCAGATCGACAAGATTAATTTTGCCACATTTTATTAGCTCCTCATCACCAACTGTTGCTTCTTTTATATGTACAGTAATGGAAAAGACAGAATGAGAGCGACTGCAAACAAGAAAAAGGGACAAAAATTGATAAATGGTCCTCTAGAGTCAACATATTGTTAGTAACTGAGGAGAAAAATACCTGCTGCGCTTGTTCAACAGAGTGTCTGCTGTACGCCTTTTGGCAGACCCTCTTTCCAAGACACTATAAATTTCATTTACATTATACACAGCTTCTTCTTCAAGGCCTCTTACTATCACACAACCCTTTCCATCCTCCATCAAGGAAATAGATTTCCTTTGCCTGTCTTCTGCAGTTCTTGGATTATCATCAGGCGCTAGTAAATCAGTTATTTCTTCATTATATATTTCTAAGAACGTTACTTTCACACTATAGTCAGCATTTTGTGCTTCAAGTGTCTCAAAAATGTGTCGAACAGCCCGTGGAATAACACCAGCCTCAGCAGGCAAATTGCCACTCTACAAGAAACGTTATGTGTACAATTAGGAGAGAAGATATTTTAAATTGCCAGTCAAAGCAAGTGGATGACTAGATGATCAATCTGTACCTTATTTCTCATCCCACCTTCCATTGTATAAGTTTTACCAGTGCCTGTCTGCCCATATGCAAAGACAGTGCAGTTGAATCCGTCGAGAACTTCATTAACTATTGGGGAAATTGCTTGGTCATATATTGATTTTTGCTGGGATTTTGGCCCAAAAACCTAGCAAATTAAAATAAATAAGATAACTTTGACGTGTTGATCATCATAAGATTGTATTATGAAGTAATATTATCACAACGGAGATTGAAGCATACCCTGTCAAAAGTGAAAACTCTATCGACTTGCTTGTTATTTAGACTTTGCAAAACAGTGACTTCTCTTTTGTGTTCATTACAGGATATCACCTTCTGGACGTTCAACCTTTGCTCATCATCACTTAGAGGCCTGAAATCAAAATCAACAATAAACCAATGGGATTATGATCTTACACACAAAAGTTTAGAACTTATAGATAAATTTTTTGAATTAAAATTAAGCAAACGATAAATCCATCTGGCATAATAATGTTACACTACAAATCCATGTCAAAAAATAAACCACAATTCGAAGCTACACAACTTCAATGACATGAAGACTGTGTAAACTAACATTTCTACGGTCCAGCTGTTGAAATTTTTTCAACAATTAAACGAGGAGTAGATTAATTTTCTACAGTCATAAGTGCAAGTACAAAGAAGTTGGGAAAGCAGCAAGTTGAAAATATTTTAGGAAACCTATAGATAAGCAGTTGGCATAAGTATAACTTAATGCTTGATAAATATCTCAAATTCAATGCCGAACAAAGTAAACTTCACTATGATTCTCATCCAAATCCCAGCCCATACAGTTCACCCATAATGTTGGCAACAATAAGCAGGGATAGCCATATTTGGGTGAGGACTAACTAACATCACAATGAAACTCACTAAATGATTGAGATTTCAAGTCAGAAATTGAAGCATAAACTGAGAAGGCCACAAAAATCCACAGACCAGCAAAACTTTATTTGATTTAAACTAACAAATGAGGAAGATTAAATAAAACTCACCTGCATCTAAGCAGAACTTGCACATTAACCTCTTTATCCTTGTCCTGGCGATTTGGATTCCACTCAAGTGTTCTGCGCCGCCTTTCGGGACGAGGTGTAAGGAAAGGAGATGGGGATGGTGACACCCCCACCCCAACTTTCTTAGACTGATCAGGGGTGACTGACATCACTTTTTTCTCTCTTTCAAACCTAAGCAAACATCAACACAGTTCATGTTCATTACCATGTATATTATAAATCATATCAACCACAGAATGACAAACCCCTAAAGCCCTGACCAACAATGTCGAAACATTTTGTGCCGATCAATTAACTCAATTTACACCCAGAAAAGGACCCTAATCACCATAACCAGAAAAACCCTAATATGCATCTTTGGTAATGAAATCCGTACATTAGATTTACCAGTGATTTGGGACCCGAAGAAGATAAGAAAATACCTCTGTGATTTATGTATCGCCTGATGAAGCCAATTAAGGATGTAACTGCCTTAAATTCACAACCAGAGAAGTAGGGTTCGATAATTGAAATGAGAGCAAGGAAAGCTTTCTTTCGTCTTCCTCTTTCAGCGAAATAAAGGTTGTTTTTTTAGGGTTCTAGGGAAAGATCGAATCGTGATTTTGAAATGAGGAAGAAAGTGGTGGTCTGATTCTCCAACGGCTACCGTGGGTTTTTGTATAGGGAGGGAAGTGGCCGTTGGGGCCAGACAGAAATCTATGCGTTTTTCAAATGTGGTGGGGTCGGTCGTGAAAATTCAAATGAGGCGCGTAGGCTGAGTCGCGCCTGGGTAAATTTGAAATGATAGCAATTTTTTTTTGTTACAGAAAATGATAGCATTTAACATAAGGAAGTTTCACTAAAACACCCAAAATGCTGAAATTATAAAAAAACCTAACACCCAAAACACTTTATAAACACACCCAAAACTCATCATTACACACACTCAAAACTCATTTATAAACACACCAAAAAAATATACAATTGTTGATTTTGGGGTTGATTTTGGATGTGTTTTTATGTTTAAATAGTGCTTGGGTTTTTTTTATAAATACATGTCTAGGATTGGGTTCCTTCCTTCATAAACTGCAAAGCATTGATGATTTAACTCTAAATCGAATTACATTTGATTTCTTTAAAAAAGAAAAAAAAAATTAGAGTGAACTATAAAATCTTATTCACATTGAATCACAGTGAATTTACCAAATTTTAAGAAAATGAGAAACACCAACTAATTCTATTTTTCTTCTTCACATTGGAACATGTCCCAGTCAAATTTCTCATTTTTTATTAATAAAGAAAAATAGAATCAAGCCAACATGGTCTAGTTCAATAGAAAATGACATTAACTTGTAGGTCTTAGGTTCGAACTTCATGATAGTGTGTGTACGTGTGTATGACAAACTCGTATGTTTCATCTAAACATAATTGTTGTAACAAAGAATGGAAGAGTTAAAATTTGTTTTAATTTAAAAAATTGGTCAGAAATAAATTCTCCTCAACTTAGAGGCAAACAATCGGTTTTTCTTTTCCAAAATGGAGAGGAGAAAATGTATTAAAAGGAGATTGTTTCTATTACACACGTGGACATGATAATGATAATCCGCCATTGATTTGTTTAGATTACTAGCAAGTCTAATGTACGTTTCGTGTGCTCGGCCCAAAATAAAGCAATATTTACAACATTTCCAAAGTTTCAAATCAAAGCTGATTTATGTTGAAGCAAAGATTCCAAAAGCTTTCCATCATGACAAAAGCTGCCAGGCTTATCTACTTGAACTCGGCTTCAACATCAAACTATGATTAAAGGGCGTGTGCTTGGTAAAGCTTACGAGGAGACAATGGAGAATTGGTGGAGCGCCTAGTGAAGGAGATAGGGTAAAGTGGAGTACGACTGTCTCTTAACATCATTTACAAATCAAATGTTAGATGGCCATTTGGCTCCCATTATGATTATTCTTACTGCAACTAATGATCGATCCATGTCTTCTGCAAGAGGATAAATTTTTTCGATATGACCAGAACACCGCATGTTGCTACCTTAATAGTATAAACTCGTCACACTCAAACAAATTAATCGTGCGGAAGCTCAAACTGTGCATAGGATGACTGCTATGATGCAATAGCATATTAGAACAGGGGAAAGAGGGTGTTGGCAAGCCAAGCACATCAATTCTTTGAGGAATTCGACTTCCATAAAAGCTTAGAGAGAAACGCAGAAGATGTTTTCTGTACCTGCACACGTTACAGCTCGACTTGCAATTCTTCGAGTGAATTTAAATAACAAAACCTATCCTCATACAGATGCAATTTTGTCGAAATTAATCATAGGGGCACAGATCCATAAAAAACTACTTCAGCCGGGCCTGTCATGTATATATGGTTGTCTTCCTCTCTCCACTCAATCTGCAATGGCCCTCCTGGTAAATCAACCGTGCAATTCTGTGTCCAATAAGATAAGCATGAAAAAAGATGAGCAACGAGGAAAGAGAGTAAAAGAAACTACAGTAAACATGAGGTTAATCTGGAGCCAGCATTTAACAGCACAAATCCATCATCCAATAATGAAGCAACAGTCAAAAGTTGGAATCTTGTGACAGTAAAGTAAACCTATTTTTTCTGATAGGAGATAATAAAGTAAAACTGAACTTTTAAGATAACTAGAATCATCATTTTTGTATATATGACTTTACTCTTCTTAAAAGTGAACGTTAAAACTGATAGAGCAAAATGGCACAATTTCATTTCCGCGAGAAATATTTAGACCAGTTATGTTAACTTTTTTACAATATTCAGCAAATAGAATGCCAATACTTACCCGCTCAGCTCGACCCTCAAGAACTGCTGCAACAACTACAGCACAAGCACCAGTTCCGCAAGCCAGTGTTGCTCCTATAATGAAAAGTAATTAATTTCCCACTAGAAAAGAGGGATTTGATATTAGATCACAATACAAATAAGTTTTTCCTTTGGTTGCAATAGAACTAACCTGCACCACGCTCCCAAACACGCATCTTGAGGTGTGAAGGAGTGAAAACTTGTACAAATTCTGCCAATCACAATCAAATGAGATTCGTGAATACAGAAACATACTTAAGAATAATGACATATTAAGAATTAAAAGCTCACAAGACAAAACCGAAGGACCAAAGAAGTTCAATTGAAAATAAATATTTAACTCACACTAAAATATATAGCATGATCTTTATATGATCTTGTAACTGTGTTTCAAGCTGCTAAGTAAGGCACACAACCATATGAGGATAGGGCAGGGCATAAATTCTTTTTACGCTTTAGGCCATATCAGAGCATACATGTGTTGACTAGCTGTTTGACTAGCATAACAACACCCAAAAAAAATAAAAATAAAAACGACTTGTAGCATGAGAGCATCCAACAATATACCAAGACTAAACTCTAATTGACTCCAATAACAAAAGCATGCCCACAGAAAAATATATTCTAACCTGTGTTAGTTCGTGCAGGAAACACCACATGGTTTTCAAATTTTGGACCAATTTCAGCCAACTTCAATTCATCAACCTGCAAATTCTGTTCCATTCCAACCAAAAGCAAGAAGTGACGGTCAGCAATGATTGATTTTGCTAGAAGTCCTACTTCAAAAGATCATGCAAGTAGAAAGAGGACAAGTTGGGGATATTCAAGAAAACTTTCAACCATTTGAAAATGATGTGATATACTAAAGGCCACAGGGCAACTATTAATGAATCATCAGATGAGTATCATTGCTTCTGCTAAATTATTTACGTCCAAACTAGGTCATTCATTTCAGAGAAAAGAGATGTATCAGAAAGAAGACAATTAAATGAAAACTCCAACAGACCTCTATTAGTAGTGACTATGTCCCAAGTTAATCCAGAAAATAGTTACCTGGCCTCCTTTTGTACCAAAAGTTACACAATGAGGATTTCCCATACTAACACATGTTACGTTCCAGGTTACTCCATCTACATCAAGATCCGACTTAACGACAGATTGATTCTTGTTTGCAGGTAGTCCTGTAGGTACATCTGTTGCTTTTAGAATTGGTTCCCCCATATCAACTTTAACCTGCAATTCAGAAAGTCAATGTCTGCTAAATTGAAGATGACCATCTACATACATACTTAAAGCATGACTGAGACATGCAGAGTAGCAGTGGGACTTCTTATAATATTTTCAAAGCCACATGCTTGCCATTATCAAATGTTTGATGTGTTTAAAGTATGTCAACCTGAAATGCTCTACTTAAACTAACACATAAAATAAACAAGAAGGTATTGATACATAGAGTAAACAAGAACGTACCTTCCCATCATCTTGAATTTCTGGAACAATTAGACCAGCACCGGTATGCACCGTAAAGCTGCAATGGTATACACATAAGGTCATTGTTAGAAAATATACACACATATTAGTCTGAAACAGATTATATTTCCCTTCTCAAAATGCAAACAGACACTAAAGGAAACAATACAGTACATTAGCAAGCATTGTTAGATAAAAACAAAACTATAGCATTAGCTCACATCCATACCGTTGCTTCCCGTGCAAATTCTCAAGCTCCGCAATGAATCTGGCAAAGCATCGGACTCCATTACCACACATCTACACGATAAAATTGAACATCAAACTTTCAGAAATTCGAAAAACATAACTCATATAATTAGTAAATGCAACATATCTGCATCATAAATAATCAAAGTATCAAGTAAAGTCAATATTTGGGAAAATGTGAGTCACCTCGGGCTCGCTCCCATCAGAATTGTAAATCCTCATGGTATAATCGGTGCCATTGATGCCCGGCAGCGCGAAGATCACTCCGTCAGCGCCAATCCCGAAGTTCCGATCACAGAGCTTCGCTGCTTGCTCTGGAGTGATCTTAGGCTCCGAAGAATCCCTATTATCAACCTATCACTCGCAAAATCAAATAATCAATAAAAAACCAAAACTCAAAATAGAGAATCGAGCACACCTAACCCTAACCTTTTCGTTCCTCATCAAATTTCAAAATTTGCAAAATTTTCACACATTTTCATTCAGAGATATAAAATTACCAAAATGAAGTCGTTGCCGAGGCCGTGGTACTTGACGAAGTGAAGAAACCCGGTCTCTCTCCGGTCCAGAAAAGAAGCCGGCGAGGCTTTCTCGACGGCTTCGACGCTCATCGAAGACGAGGCCGCCGAGACGCGAAGACAAGCAGTTCTCAAAGCGACACTTCCCCTGACAGAGTTGAGTTTTAGAATTGGAGAAGAAGATCGAAGAGAGGTGAAGGAGGCGAGAGAGCGGCGAGCTGGGGACGTGAGAGGCAGTGAGATGGCGGCGGCTATGGCCATGACTTTGATGCTAACAGTAACAGAGTTTCCTTTCGCAGCTGATTTGTTGTTTCACTTCTTATTTGTCCTAGCGCCAATATGGTAGTTATAAATAAGGTGGTAAAATAGACATTTTCTTTGAATTTAATTAGGATTTGATATTTTCTTTGAACTCACTTACAATTTTTATATATATTTATTTATTTATACAAATGATAGGATATTTAAAAATACTTTTACAACTTGTGAATATATGAAAATTCTAATTGAAAATGTCAAAACTTCTTGACGTGTTGGTGAAACTAATCCTTTCATTTATGCACAACTTTACTTGAGTAATTGATTTGAGTGGAAAAATTATATATAAACTTGACTAAACAATACTGTACATGCGAAATGACATTTTAAACATTAGTACTTGGGAGCGTTACATAAAGAACCAAGCTCTAACTGCAAGCATTACACTTTGTTATGATAAAAATTCAGGGCAAGTTAAAGTCAATGAGTTGACCCTAATTGCCTTTTCAAGCAGAAGATCCATTAGTTGCAATTCATGGTCTCTGCCAGTGAAGCCCAGCAACTCAATGCTTTTAAGGTGCTTGAGCTGTGAAGTGTTCGACTTGACACTTGTGAAGTCCATCCAAAGGTGAGGCTCATGCCAGTATTGGTAGAACAATGGGCAGGGGATGGTGCTGAGGTTGCTGTCAATCTGCCACCACAAGCTCAAGGCATTAGTTACCTCAACCAAAAAAAAAAAAAAAATATATATAGGCGATAATTTATTTTAAATAATATATAAGAAGGAGAATTCAAACTTGAGCGCAAGGGGCGAGCTCAACTCACGGAAACAATTTAATAAAAAAGATGAACTGTTATTAGAAGTCTAAAAACTTAATTACCTCAACCAACAATTTCTCCAGCAAAGGACATGCATTTAAGAAGCAAGCAAGGGAGTCTCTTTTGTCCTTGTTGATCAAAGAGTCGATCCAAGTTAATGCTTTTAACTTGTTGAATTGGAAATCAAGCCTCCCAAAAATCACTCCTGCTGAACACAGCCACTTCAACAATATAGCAACCAAATTCAGTCTCAGAAGTTGGAAATATATAAAGATTTACATGTGTTTTATAATTTCATATATACCTCAAGAAGCCAGCCACTTATAGTGAGAGCCTCAACATCCTTGAAAGAGAAAAGGATGGAGAGAATTTCCTCACAGTCAAACTCATTGGTGATTGGTCCATCCTTCAAATTGAGCACCACATCAACCAAGCTTCTCGTGTTTTTTAGGGTGATAATCTGGGGGAGAGCACCATGGAACCAAAATGATTTGAGATTTTGTGCAGAAATTGTAATGGCAGCCATGTTTAAACAGTCTGCGACCACCAAGCTCCTCAGGCTATCTGTTTTCACATCAAGGCTGTCCAGTCCCGTGCATTTCTCAAGCTTCAAGCTTTCAAGAACATGGCAATTGGAGAAAACTTCAGACACCAGGGTTTTAGTGAGGTTGGTGACTGATCTGAGGTGGAGAAGCTTCACCCCAGCAAAACTATCTGTTTGTGTAGGATGATGGCTGTGAAGGCACAAACAAGCACTTGTTGATGTTGGCTCTGATTTGAAATCTCTTGAAACTTTCTTTGTTTCAAAAAATTCTAGATGAAGCTCTCTGTCAACCCCCTTGGTGGCTTTGAGAATCAGTGCTTCATTGCTGTCAACAACATTGAGGCACAGCTTCCATTGCTCAAGACAAGCATAGGACCTCATGCACATTCCCATAACTTGGTTGAATTCTTGACCTGAGCCTTCATGGTTTACTGGGTTTGGATCAAAATTCAAGCTTACCTGAATTGGAGACCAGAGGCTCTTCCAATGAGTTGAAAGGACACTAGCGCTTACTGCCTCTTTCAATGGCAAGAAGGATATAATTCTCTGTTTTAATTCAAATGGTAAGCTGCTGATCAGATCAAGCTTTTCCTCCTCCATTAGTTTCTGATAATTTCCCTGCTAAAACCCAATTGTTAGACCCAAAATACAAATACAAATTCACAAACCAACTTCTAAATCCTAAAACAATAGTTGGGTTAAGCTCAGAAACAAGAAATCATCAGAAGAACATAAAACTAAGGCTTCAATTGCTTCGAAACGTACCGGAGCCAGTGTGGATGCGGAGCTGAGATTGTCAGTTTCCAGCGAGTGCAAGATTATCTGCAATGGAGTTGATTTTGCCCCGGTAATCTGAAATGGACAAGTCGCCTTTGGTGGTGCAAAGGAGTTCATTGCGCAGATGAAGGATGCGGTTGTGAGAGGTGGAGGCATAGCGACGTTCCAGAGATACCCAGGATTGACGAGATGTGGGAGACAACGCCACAGTAGACAACACAGACGGAGTGAGTGAGATGTTTAATAGTGTCTGATTTTGCTGGACCCAAGAGATATAAGAAGAATTGATGACAAGCCAACCACAGTGGACAGTTGGAGCGGGTCAATTTGATAGTAATGATGGTGAAAACAACAAGTGGAGGCTCACGAGGTTGATTGTTGATGGTGGGCCGAGGATTTTGGCCATTGGTAGGAAGGACATAGCTATCAAAGTTGGCCATGGGATACCTGGGTAGAAAAACATCGATAGATTATGGGAGCTCTTGATACCATAAAATTACTTACCAGCATATCATCAAATGACTTTAAGAACATCAATTTTCTCTTAACTTGGACTTTGTCTAACACATGGACCGTGCAATGCAACAAGTGGTGCTCGTAGGTTTCAAGTTGACATCAATCATGATCCCCGATCTTTATATAAACATTTCTTTGCCCTTAATGCAGAAAGCTGATATCGAATCGAACAAATAATTTGTTACAGAGATTTTCTTTGCCCATGAGGTTGAATTTCATTATTTAAACAAAAGTAAACGATATGAATGAATCAAACATGTCTGCTAGATTATTATATAATGTTGATTAGCTTGGACTTGTAATTAATAATTATCAAGATTGTTGTTGTTTATTTTTTGTCAATCTTTCACAAATGGATATTATTTTATTAAAAAATGTTTCACCAGCTTCTAGGAAAATGGATGAGGAAATTATTGTCAAGGTTCAAAGTTCTGTAGTGGCCATTGGCCAATAAAAATATAATAAGCCTAAAATTAGTGTGTTCTTATCTTCTGTGACGAGGAAAAGATGGATGAGAGGATCAACAATAAGAACTTATTGGAATTGTTATTCCAATTTAAATGAAATAATTTCATGTCGGACGTTTGGTGTTCTTAATAAAAGAGGAACTATTAAATTGGACAATATTCTCACGGATTAGAGACTAATTTCACTCTCGACTCTATGGAACATGACTGAACTGAATGATCCGATTTTCGCCTGTTAGAAGCTTGAATGAAATTCAAGACATTTTTTGTCTCACATTGGTAGAATGGAGAAAAGGGCCTAATGGAATCAATTTGGGTATATATAATATTTAATTATCAAAAGATGGGTATTAAGCTTCACATTCAGATTTAAATTAATTTTTAAGTTTCGAATTAATAATTTTTTATAAATTCGGATTAATTTAAATAACAGTTTTTTAATAGTTCTAACTCTTTTGATAGGGTTTTAGAGGTTTATTAGAAGAGACCTCATGTCTTTTTTTTAGGGTGCATTTACTACCATATTTGCTTATCGATAGATATGACCAATTCAAACTTCTTGAAAACCTTAAAGTAATTCATGTATGTCTTTAACAATTGATTTTAATTAATATCCACGAAATCTGTACATTCTGTAATAAAATTTGAGTTAAGACTTTGGAGTCTCCTTCAACTTCTATCTTTGTTAAACGTATGGTTGTTGTGCCCAAATCAGAGCTTGTTTTAGAGCACTTCCATCCTTGGTCAACACGGGCAGAAGGGCCACTAGTGCCCAAAAACTAACTCCAGCGGTGAAGGCCAGTCTATGTTGTTTGGGTTTGCTGATGTTAGCATGACATCATTAACCATTTTAAATACCTAAATTTTTTTTATAAAAAGAATTAAAAAAATTAAGAATTTTTTTAATTATAAATACCTAGCTATGTTTTTCACTTCTCACACCAAAACTCCATACAAATTTCTCTCTGTATAAGTTATATATCATGTAAATAGTATTTACCTTTACTTGCCATAGCAATAGATGAAAAAGCAAAATAAAAAAGGATATGACAGTTACTATTTACGTGAATAGTTTTCTGCTCTTACCTACTTTTAGCTTTTGCCATGGCACCATGAGTTGAAGTGGAAAGCCAAGACTTGCGCATGTGTTTGAAGAACTGACATATGTGTGGAGGTATAATGTTTTCATAGTTATAATTTGAAGACTTTTGGAGCCTCGTGCAAGTGTCCATTTTCCATACCCCACCGCTTCTGACTGCAAGTACGGCTGCCAATTCAATGCTCAAAAGAAAGCCACATCAACAGTGAAGCTTTCATGGGAGAAAGAACCAGCCAAAAAATATCTCTCATCCCCCAACAATTCCAATGAAAGGCAAAACCAGCTGGTTGGAATTTTCTCGTCATAGAGTTTTCCCTCTCTCTGCTACGCCAACGAAGTCGCGCAAATGATTGGGAACTTCGGTTCCCACGAAAAGGAGAGAACAGAGCTGGAGGGCATAATGGCCAATTCACTGCCCATATGTCAACTCAAGGAAGCAGATCATCACTTAAGTGGGAGCAAAAACATAATTTCACTATTATTAATGAACAGATTAGGAACAGTGAGTTTGGATTCAGTTTTATAGAAAAAGTATCATACAAGCACATTCACTCGTATTTGTCTGTGAGAAAAACAAACAAACTTTATTAATATAGATAGTTGAATTCTGAGAGGCAGTTACTTGTAGAATTTCAAGCATCAACAAAGGGTAAAATTACTTTCTTTAGGAAATTGCATCAAATCTGCTAGTCTCTATCTCGAATCCAAGTTAATTTTATTTATTTATTATTTATTGTATTTCAATTTAGAGTTTATTGTAAATTTAATTTCGCTGGAGTTGTTTTTCCAACATCGCCCGCCCACCAAACAAGGCCTGAAAGGATGGAATAAGGATGGTGGCTGGGAAGGCACAAACAAGCACTTCTCGTTGTTGGCTCTGATTTGAAATCTTTTGAAACTTTCTTTGTTTCAAAGAATTCTGGATGAAGCTCTCTATCAACAACATTGAGGCACAGTTTTCATGGACCCTAGGCCTGCAAGAGTTGACATGAATAACGATGGTTCATTTAATTTAAAGCGACTTTTTTTGTCACACGTATTAATATGGACCCCCTATGATCTTGACCTTTTATAAACATTTTTTTTGCCTTATTATAATCAATGGACGCCGGTGTACTATATTACTGTATAGTTATTCATATGAAAAATATATATTGACCTTATTATAAGTATACTTATAAATTGTCAAGATTGTTGTTTAGTTTTTTGTCAATCTTGTAGGGCACGTATTAGGAGCCTAGGACATTCAACAAATAGATATTATAAGAAAAGTTCCAGCTGCTTCGAGGAAATGAAGAAGGAAAATACTGACGAGGTTCAAAGTTCTGTTATGGCCAAAATAATATGATAAACGCTTGCCTAAAGTGGCCTTATCTTATCTTACGTGATATTATAATTAAGGAAAAGTAATGCTTCTAGAATAAGTTCATATCAATTCACTCCTGTGCATAATCACTGTCCACAGCCATTTCTTATAATGTTCATGACGAATCTAGATTCTTGATGTGCTTATAACTTGAAAAGGGAAAAACAAGGATGAGAGGATTTACTTTCTCCATGTCAACAATATGAAATGATTGCAATCCTTTGTTAGCATCAACATGACTAGTAAAATGAACTAGTTTCATGTTAGATGTTTGGTACTATTAATAAATGAGGAACTAGAATTATTGTATTGGACAATAGTCCCACGTATAAGAGAAAACAAGTCTCATTCTGAACTCTATGGAACATGACTGAACATAGTCTCGATCCAATCTTGATTCGCTCACGTTCCAATGACTGACGTAGTCTCGATCCAATCTTGATTTGCTCACCAAACGAGGCCTGAAAAGATGGAAGAAGGATCATGAATTGGTATTGTTAAAGCAAATCAACAAATTTATATATACTAAAACTCAATTCAACTAGACATTGTTCCTGAGCACAATGAAATGATGCAATTGCCCCCGTTTTACTGTTACTCAGCCTTTTTTTTCCCCCCCCAGAGACTCGCCGTTAAGTTTGAACCATGGTTGAGCTGGTTAGAGGGCAGCAATGGGATAAGCTGCTTGGATGTTCGGGATTCGTTTGAGGCAGTCGATTCCTGTTTGGGGCGGTGCGCTGCGAATCTCACCCTTCTTTTGGTTTTCATCTCATCAACTTGTTTGTTGGTTGAGAGATTTTTAATGATTTCTAGAGCATTAGTCTGATGGATCTTCCATCTTTGTTGGATGCGAGTTCTTGCATCGTTTGTCTTCAGGTTTGCATCCCATCAACTTTTTAACAAATTAATGACTTGTTGATGCGTTGCTGAGCAAACTGTTGAATCCTTTAATTCCTTACTCAAATTGGTTCCTCGAACAAGTGAGTGATAGGTTTAGAAGATAAGTCTTTAAGAACAAAGGTTGTTGGCATATGAGAGTTTATTTTCTCTTGCTAAGCAAATTGTTTTATTCTTTGTTTTAGAAACACTTGCTTTCATCCCCAACAAAAAAAAACAATCATTTCATCAACTGTTGTTGGGGTTACTCTAAATTGTGTAATGATCTATTTTTGTTAATATTTGTTTTTTTAAAATTATTTTTTGTTTTTATGTTCATATGTTTTTGTACTAATTTGTGTAATATATATTCATTTGGTGATTTCATGTTAGAGATGTTAAAAACTGTGTTAATAGCTATTTGATGTGGTATGTTGCCAAAATATTAATATAAATGAACATGTATGAGATAGAGAGAAAGAGAGACCAACTTAATGACGTTGATGACTACTAGAGAGAGAAAAACAAAGGAGATTAGTATTTGTATAGAGTTTTTTTTTTCACTAAAATTATGATTTGGATATGTGGTAAGATTGATTTTTGATTGAATTGATGAACTGAGTATGTGTTATATTAAAGATTTGACTATGGTTATGAACCAGATGTATTCAAGATTTAGTTTTTTTTTAAAAGCAAATTTATGAACTTCGCATGTGCTATACCTTAAAAAAAAAAAAAAACTACTCTGTAATATGCATTGTCTTTAATTCTTATATACTATCATGTCTGAATGTTAAATAACTTACTCTGTTTCATATATTGGGATTGTCCG